TGCTGAGACCAAGAACTGAGACAACGCCAGGAGTTGTCTCATAAGGAACAAACCTGTGAGGGCAAAGGGAAGAGTAAGATTTTCCTTTTTCTGCTCTATTTGAGAGATCTTTGAATTCACAAATTCCAATCAGAAATTGTCTCTCAAAGGTAATTTTAAAACCCTTGAGCAAAGCAGCAAAGTACTGTTTTAAAAATCTCTGAACACTGGGAGTTTTGGGGACTCTAGCCTAAGACACTGTTCAGTGGAAGCCTATTATGCCCTATTAAAATCTGCAGTTTTTTCAGTTTGTAAAGAAACTTATCAAATCGGTATTTATTCAATGCTACTAAAAATTTATTAGAAGAAGTATTAGTAACAATTGGAGTTATTCATGGGACACTGATCATCCTGGAGGGTGTGCACTGAGTTGTCATTCCTGCAGCATTTTCTTATTTGATAATATCAATAGAAATGTACAAAGAGCTCTAAAAATGGGTTTAAAAAAAGCACATGAAGGATCTGGGTGGCACTTACAGCACTTACATTGTACTTTTAACTCTGAAAGGTTTGATGTTTTTCACTTTCAGTAGACCAAGGTACATAACACCTGGTATTAAACACATCCAACGTTTTAAAAAGTAAGAGAAGCATGTGTGCTTGTGAAGGATTTGTGTTTTCTGTAAGGAAGTTAATTGGAGTTTCACTTGTGTAGATGAAGTTTGGGTATGGTTCGTATTTGGGCCTGACACTGCTCTGTAGTAGGGAACTAAATCCAGCATCTGACACAGAGGTTTTGGGCTGCAAAATTTGAAATGGTTACAAAATTTAAAAAAAAAAGAAAGTGTAGACTTTTTGCAATCCACTTCAAAGTACTTGAGTGGCTTTGGTTTTACAGGGTTTCAAATGAATCATTTTCTCTTCTTTTAGTCATTTCTTACAAAAGGTATTTCTCAGGGTTTTTTTTTTGTTGGTTTTTTTTTTTTTAAATAGCTTTGAATTCTTCCTCACCCCATCACCCCACAAAATCTTATTGGCTTAGTCTTCCTAGATGTCAGAACAGTCCATAATGCAGGCAGGACACATGAAAGCAAAGGGGAGAAACCTTCTGGTATGATTAAACCATAAGATTCAGAGGCTGTAGAAACCCTGAGGGAGAAACCTGCCTCTGAGAGCAGTCAGGAAAAGATGTATGTAACAAACATGATCCTGAAGATCTTTCATGCACCTGGGTGACCCTGATTAAATGGGCTTTAAATGATTTTTATAGGTAGGAATAAAACAAAGAAAAAGGTCTCTGGGTTTTACTGAAAAGAGACATTTTCATAATAGTTAGACATCCCCTCTAAGAGTTAGGATCAGCTCTTAATGTTTTAATACCTTTATGAAGGGTTTTGCAAAATGGCTGCAATCACATTATATAAATGTTTAGAGGAGTGCCTGGTGCCATTATTTCCATGGCTTGGGAAGCCTTTGCACTTTAGCAATTCATTTTATGGAAGTAAAAGTACTTCTGAGATCTGTTTGAGATAATAGGGTAAGCCTTGCATACATTTTAATAAAAACTCCAGACACAAGTCCTTGGGTTTAAAGCTTCTGGCTGAAACTTTTATTGATGGAAATCTGAAAATAGCATCGTCAAGAAGTAGCTGCTGCCTGGAAGCATGAGGACTAGTGGTCCTTTTGTTTAATTAGTGTAGGCCTAGCACGGTTGTTGGTGTTGCAGTGTTATTTTCTTGGTCAATCCCTTCTCCTCTCTTTATACATTCTATAGGGAATTGAACAATGTGATACGAGACCTCCCCGTGATGTCTGGCCCACTAGAAAGCCACTGCTCCTCTTGCTTCCCACTGCTTGTGTATAACAGCGGGCTGGGGCTGTCCTCTCTTGAGTTTTGAAGGCTACATTCAGTGCCATGCCATTCACTTTGCCTTTCAAAGCTTTGATGCTTATCATCTCACCCGTGCAGTAAGGCAGCTTCTACCTTCACTTTGCACAGGAGTCTTGTTTCACTTTTTTTCAGAGAATGGTGGTTACACCACTGGTGTCCTACAAAGTCTGCTGAGTCCTGTTTCACAGAATGGCTTGGGTTGGAAGGGACCTTAAAGATCATCTAGTTCCAACTCCTCTGCCATGGGAGGGATGCCTTCCATTAGACCAGGTAGTTCAAAGCCCCGTCCAATTTGGCCTTGAATAGATCCAGGGATGGAGCATCTGCTACCTCTCTGGGCAACCTGTTCCAGTGTCTCACCACCCTTATAGGAAGGAATTTCTTTCTTTTATCTGATCTAAATCTGCCCTGTTTTCAGCTTAAAACTCTTACCCTTCTCCTTTCACTACATAAATAATAAGATGAGAACTTGAGATATATTGAATCAAAGAAAAGGGTGTAACAGAGGAGAAACCAAGAAGTCCAGAGTGGCTATTAGACAAGGGCATAGATTCTTTCAAGAGCTTTACAATGTTCCTACCACTTTTCCAGCCATCAATCTCTCAGTGGACAGAGGAACGTCCTGTATGTTTCCTCCAGTCCCTGTTCTGAAAGCAGCTAGAGCCCTGCCTGGCATATAACATCATCTGGAATGGCTGCTTGCAGGTCTCTAGCACCCTCTTTCTAGAGTGGCATCAAGTTGGTGAAATGTCTCCTTTGCTCCCAGCAGGCCAAGCCCTAGCAGAAGAGGTGGTAGGAGAATTGCAAGCTTGGTTTAAGCTCATCTCTGCTCGTCAGCATAAATCAGTCCTAAGCATAAGACTGCCTTTAATATAGGGATCCTGTAGCCTGGCTTCACAAATACTTTAAATCCTGCTCTTAAGCACTAATACTACTTAATAAAAGTTTTATGAGCAATGTACAGTTCAGAGTAAATTTTCATATCCATTTTCATTTTAAAAAGAACATCAAAGAGCAAATGTATTCATGCCAGAACAAAGTAATTTAGTAGAGTCACAAAAACGGTCCAGGCCCCCTCTGAAATAGTAAGAGAGCGTCGATGAGGCAAAGGGACCAATGGGGACAGGATTCAAAAACTTAATTCACCATGAAGGACTTGAAGGGGAAGAAATTCCCCCGTGCCAGCTAAGCAGATTCCTCTGCCTGGAGGGGTGAGAAGAGCCTGGCTGCATAACGCTGCCCTGTATAGCTGTCTGCAGCTGTACAGCTGGGCTGCTCTCTAGAGGTGCTGACCTGCAGGAGTTGCCTTATTCTTCAGAGACTCTCAGAGAATTCCTCAGGACCAGCAGTAGCCTGTGTGTGGATAGATGGGAGGAGCCATGAGTATCGGGGAGCAAATGGAGTTGGCACCAGAACCAAGTCCTCGGTGGGATTTGGTTGCTCCAACATTGATGTCTAGCATCATTTCAGACAGCCCAGAGCATCCCAGGCACTCCTTCAAGAGAGTGACCCACTGCTAGCTCAGTGCAAGTTTTTTTGGATACCCATGGTGTCAAAAAGGCATCACTGACCAACCAAATTACTGCCCTCCTGGCAATCAAAAAAAGAGTCTTTTTGTTTTCA